TGGATCATCAGCCGGCAGCTGGAAGTTTGCTGGCAGCTAGAAGTTTGCTGGGGCCCCTTTGGCTGTGGCTCTCAACATTCTGGGATCCTGGCTGATAAGTGGGTGGACTTAGAAGTCCATCTGGAAGACAGTGCCTCTTGGGAAACTCAAGAAGACTTCTTCTGAAGCCAGTTCCCAGCAGCACTGTATAAGTGATAGAATTCACGGTAGGCGGCACCTAGTGATTTCTGCAGGCAATTTATTGTGAGCAGTGGTCTGGAGCCGATGTAAAGGAGGCAGGGTGCTTAGTTCACCCAGGGCTGAACCCCAGAGAGAACCCTCGTCCCCTAGGTGGGAGCCATACAGGTCAAACTCAAGGAAGTGCTCTTGAGACAGGGGAGGTCTCTGGAGCTGGGGTTTACGTGACGCGGGTCTTGGGTGGGGAAAAGTAACAACTAGTACATGGCGGTCAAAGTCACACTGCCTCCTACAATGCTGACCGCCTGCTGGGGAGCACTTTGGAGGAGCAATCGGAGTTGTTTTTGATACCTGTGGAGGTGGAGACGAGGAAAAGGAGAAGGAAAAAGGAATAAGGAGGAAGGGAAGGAAGGAAGAGGGGTGTGACCTCTGAGGCCCCCCAGATCAGGTGCTCTCTCTCTCTCTGGGGTCCTGTTGGAATGGGGTGACACAGGCTTTACAGCATTCTCCCACCGTCTGTTTTGCTCATGGGGAGTTTCTCTCCCTCCATCCAAACTACACACCAAAGCTGTTCCAGAAGGAGGTGAGCCCCGCCCATTGTCCGGTCCTGCTGGATTTGGGGGTCCAACCGCAGCTCCTTGTCCAGCCTGGTCCTGTTTCCCACCCTGGTCAGTTCTCATCCGCATCGCCCCTGACCCCTGCTTACCTCTGTCTCGTATCTGATTTGAAGGCCTCGGAGGCCTCCCACAACAAGAACGTCCCTGATAACGGCTCGTCCTTTCTCCCTTGGCCAGTCGTTTCCTAGATGCAGTGCTGTCCCAGGCATTAGGACTCCCTGCCAGGCAGAGAGCTCATCAGAATCTCCTTGCTGAGCTGTGCACATCGGCTGTGGTTCGGAGGTGGAGAGCATGCTCACATAAAGCACAACTAGCACGAGATTTTCCTGAAACATGAAAGAAAGTTTTTCACTCTGTGAAGGGCTTCTCCACAGGGTCCCTTGAGAGTCACACCAGCAGCTCCCACTTTGCATGTAAGAGACAGTGGTTGTTGTAGATGGTTTACTCTCCACTCTCAGCCTGCTGTGTAGGGTGAGGTCCACCCACCTGTGTCCCTGTGAAGATGTCATGGAAGGGTGTTCACAAATGCCTTAGGTGAGAACGGTGCACAGGACAGGTGAAGATCTGATCTGCAAAACAAAAATGACCTGGGCTTTATTTTCCTTTTTTTTTTTTTTCTTTTTCTATTTTTAAGTTCTGAAACACGAAGCCTATTCTAATGGCATGTAGACAGTTTCCTTCAACAAGAATTAATGAGCATATTCTTGGTGTCAGGGACAACCTCAGCATGTAGGAATGCAGAAGTGATAAAGACAAGGTCTCTGTCATCGAGAAGCAGTTTAATGTAGGAGATAAGATATGTATCTAGGTCACCAGGACCAAGAGCAACTGCAGAGGCTGGGAGGGAGGTCTAGGGAGCTGGAGGGTGTGGAACTTTGACTTGGCTGGGGAACCAGTCTAGTCCCATGGGGGCCCTGAGTGCTGAGTCATGGTCAGTGGGACAAATAAAATGGCCTTCTTTAGGCTCTGGGTGATATTGAACTTGATCTTCCTTCTCTGGGCCCAAACTGAACTCAGCAGGATTTGGACCCTACCCAACACCCCATCACCACCAGGGATGTCGCAAGACTTGGCCTGGGTACTCACTTCCACCCGGACCAATCCGAATGCTCCGGCCACCTGGTCGCTCACTCACATGAAAATCCCTTTGAACCACATCCCAGCTGTGTGTAGCTGAGGAATCCAGCCTGGGAATTGCGAAACATCCGGACACATCATCCTGCATTGCATATCTGACCTCCAATAACAGGGAGCCTGGAGGTTCAACCGGAGGATATATAGAATAGCATCTTCTCTGCCCACCCACAAGGCCTCCAGACTTCTGGGATGGCTGGTCCACCTGTCCTCCTCTAGGCTAAGGTGATCTCTGGGTGGAGAGACACTTGTCTGCCGTCACTCGGGTGCTGCTAAGGCATCTTGACCTCTCCTATTCTCTTCCCAGGGAGTTGATGAGCAGGTAGAAGTTTGGGGGAGAAGAAGGGAAGTGTAAGTCCCTACCAAAGACTCTAAATGATCTAACCTGGGAGAAAAATCAGAGAGGCCAGTGAACTGGAGAACCAGGGGACATGTAAGCTCAGGGTCTCGGGGCAGGACCAGCCTAGGTGGAGAAAGAGCCGACACTCCCTTCTCCTGTACACCTGACCATGGTGCAGTGGTGGGCCTGGGCCTGGGAAAGGCAGACGGTCAGCTCGACTCGGTGGCTCACTTATTATATTTTTTCTTTATTAAAAGAAAGAATAAGTTATCGGCTTGGTTGTTGGTGAGGGAGTCCCCTAGGAATTTCCATTAGGATTTACTGCTCAGATGTTGAGCCCTTCTCAGTTCACCCCACCCCGGCCCTCCTGGGGTGGACTTCCAGGGGTTGTTAGTGCATGCTGCTCCGTTGTGGACCAGCTGACGGGTTCCCTGCCCTAACCCTGACTCTTTCTCTTCCAGATTCCACACCAGCTGAGCCATGTCACAGGAGAAGCAGCAGTCTTCGCAGCCTCCCAGTGCTCCTCAGGGTTCCCCTGCCCCAGGCCCAAGCCCCTGGCGACACCTCTCCTCTGCTCCTGGTGGGATTCCCAGTTCAGGAGTCTGTCCTTCCCAGTCCCGAAGGCCTGGAGCTCAGAGCCCGGCCCGCGTCAGGAGGGCTCGCCGCCAGCCTCGCTGCCTCAGCGGCGGCACTACCTACCCCTGCAAAGAGAAGGAGTGCTGAGGAGATCCAGCCAAGGAGGCGGCACAGGTCAGCTGCTCCTCCTGGGCCTGGGGTTCTGACTCCACTTAGAAACCCAGCCTTCAGCTCTTACTTGGATGCGGGACTCCCAGCCCCCTGCACCCAAGAGGGTTCCCTCCTGCTGCTCTCCCACCTGTCCGTCCTTTAGCCCCGCAGCAGTGATGCTGTCTGCCTGGAGCACGGCTGGCACTTCTGTGGTCCTTGCTCAGAGGCACTGAGCCCCCTCAGTGGAGGTGCTGCCTCTCCTTGCCCCCAGGACAGCTGAGGTCCTAAAGAGACGGCTTTCAGAGGTTCGGGCCCTTGTTCTCAGCAGCCTCTCATGTCAACCAAGGTAGCTGCAGGGTTCTAGCACTGCAGCCCCACACCGAGCCCCTCCTGTGCTCCAGCCACCGTGCTTACAGAGAAGCTTGCCACCCCGTAGAAGCAGCAGTGGACCCTCCAGACTGAAACAAGAGGATCAATAAATACAATTTTAAGCGGATTAACTTGTTGTTGTCATTCCTCATTGTGCATCTAAAAGAACGTAAAGCAGGAAAAAACACAAAAGGTCAAGGGCAGCAGCGAGAGATTCTCTGATAGGGTGGGAAGTGGACTTTCAGGGGATGTAGTGCGAGGAGGAAGCACCTTCCAGGTGGAAGATGAGCCAAACGGACACGTGGCAATAGAGTGAATCTCAGTTTGGCTGGAGTGAGATGATGACGATTCCTCCTGGGATTCAAACCAGCTCTTTCTGAATTTCAAGAATAAAAATCCATCTACCAAAGGATTGTACCTCTGGGCAAAGTCTGGACTCAGGCCTAGGATCTAGAGGCCTTGGTGAATGGAAACCTGACATATATTATAGGGGGTCTGCAAGGGGGCTGCAGTTTAACTCTGTGGCATACCAATAGAAGTTTCAGGTAAGATTTTTCACTGATAGGAGCTGGGGTTCGGGCTCAGCAGTAGAGCGCTCGCCTAGCACGTGCAAGGCCCTGGGTTCGATCCTCAGCACCACATAAAAATAAATAAAATAAAGGTGTTGTGTCCAACTACAACAAATAAATAAATAAATATTTTTTAAAAGATTTTTCACTGATAGACATTTTCTGGCAGTTCTTCAACTCAATAGATTTTATTGACCAGTCTCAGAAAACAATTTCAGCCTGTCATTTCTGATATAAAGCATGCCCATCTCCAGAGCTTAGGAAGTCTAATAATGCCGGGACCTGATTTTACCTTTGTCATATATCTATGTATAGATAGGTGTCATAATTATTGTAATTATAATTTTATATGTGTAATTTGTTTCATTAAACAAATGACCCATACTTGTATGAAGATTTGTTAATGCAGGGGACTGAGGGTGCAGCTCAGTGGTAGGGTACTTGCCTAGCAGGTGTGAGGCCCTGGGGGTTCTATCCACAACACCACAAAAAAAGAAAAAGGAAAGGATTTGTTAATGCAGATAAGCATAAGTAAAATGATCAAGACCAATCTAAATCTTGTCATCTAAAAATAATCATGATTAATAATTTCTTAGCTATATTTGAAAACTCACAGAAAGTAAATATTCTCACCGGTGATTATTCTCAATTTTCTTAGGATAAAGTTTTAGAATTGGAATTCTAGAATCGTCAAAAACCATGACATTTTTTTGAAATTCTCCAGGAAGATTACATTTGGGAAGCAATTAAGACTGCTCCATTCCTTCCATTTGGGAAGGAATGTCTTTTGTTCGAAAGCAAGAGTCAGTACTATGTTAAAGGACTATCCCGGCTGACAGGGGAAACAATCCAAAACACTCCCGGGAGACTTGACCAGTTTACACTCATTTTATACACTGTATAAACAATGGCTTATAAGTACAATATCCTGTTGTTTGAACTGCTCTATTTAGCTGACAGATTTTTAAATAATGATTTCAGATGGTCAATAAGTTTATGTGAAAGGTTTCTGGAAAGAATCCCCAAAATATCAACATTTGGTTGATTAAGTTCACTGTATAAGAATATCTTCTTTTTCCACATTTTATTTCTGTTCTTTATTGAAGGCACATACTAAATAATAGTCGTTGTTTTTTAAGAGAGAGAGAGAGAGAAATTTTTTAATATTTATTTTTTAGTTTTCCGTGGACACAACATCTTTATTATTTTTATGTGGTGCTGAGGATCGAACCCTGCGCCCTGCGCATGCCAGGCGAGCGCGCTACTGCTTGAGCCACATCCCTAGCCCAAAACAATAGTTTTTGAAAAGTTTGACAGAAACTATTTTCCTTTAACAAGAATACTACTTAATATTTGGCCCTATTCAAATTTCTTTAGTCCTAGGATTCCCGATAGATAGATAGATATTGAGTTAATGCATGGTAATTAGTTTGCTTTAGCTATTTCACAATGAACACCTGTTTCAAATTCACATGTACCTGAAAAATGTATACAATGTTTATTTGCAAATTTAATAAATAAATACACATATTTTAATGTCCTATATACAACATTTTAACAGTTTACAGGAACAACAAAACTAGGTAAGTGGCCCCATTGCTTAATAATTTTCGTAATAAAATATCTAACTTTTTAATATTTCCTCATTCAAAAAATATCATTTTGATAAAGAAACTTCATACATTTGATGTTTAGTTTGCTTTTTAGAAAATGTTAAATGTTGTATTGTTTGGACTAAATAAAGAATGTGAAAGTTTAATAAATGGTTCCTAGGGGTTTAGAGAGCTCTCCAGGGACTTTGAAAGGCCCCTGGGTGAAGTTGCCCAGCGTGTTGGTGCTCTGTCCCCCCTTAAGTCTCAAACCCAGCCTTCAGGCAAGCAAGGTCTTGCACAGGAACTGAACCTGAGTCCCGGGATCTCTCACTCCAGATGGTCCATTGCCCAGCTCACCGTCTCCAGTCAGGACCGTGTAACCTCTTTCACCTGGCCCAGGGTGGACTCTACCGAGGCTGGCCTCGCCGCTCCCTAAGCACACCTTGCAAAGCACCATTCACTTTGCAATGTCTGCAGAGAATATTGTGCTCTTGATACTATGTCCTTCATGACATAACACAAATAATCAGTCATTGTTTTCGTTTATTCCTGTAAAGATGTCACAAATAAAATAAAAATCATCCTAATGTGAAAGAAATATTTAGTTCCAATCACTTCTCTTAGGTTCTGGAAAGTCAAGAAATACTACCTTTTCTTGATGGGTAAAGAAATAGTTTTACTTATAGTTTTATTTAATGTTACTAGGGTAACCAATTATAGTATTAAAAATAAAGTCATGTTTAAATATATTAGTAGAAGTGAAGAAGGGAAAGTGAGCATGCGGCTAAGCCCTGGTTTTGCTTTGAGGAAGTATTAGACATGGCCAGCAGGCAGGAAGGAAAGAAATATATTTGCAGATTATTTAGAATGAGGTTTAAGATTTTCAAATTTCAACCTGTTGGAATACCTGGGTTTTTTTTATTTTTAATTTTTGTTCTTTTTGGTTTTACATGACAGTAGGTATAATTTGACTTATGTATACGAACTTGAAGCATACCTTATTCTAATTAGGATCCCAGTCTTTTTGTTGTACGTGATATAGAGATTCACTGTGGTATATTCATATATGTACATAGGAAAGTTATGGCAGACTCACCCCATTTCATGTCAATGTACTAATTTTCTATAATAAACTAAATGAACAAAATCACATCTTGTTTTTATTTGTACCTGCAGGGTCTTGGGCCAAACCTACCTTAGCAGAGTAAGTATTCAGTCAGAACTCTGTGACCTCACAAAAAGTTTCTGGGCCCTGGTATGACTTTAGATAGTTTCCTCATCAAAAAATTAGGTAAATTAGTTTTTATCTAAAATTAGATAAATTACCTAAAAATTAGGTTAATTAGTCAATAATTTCTCCATGGAAGAATGTGCAGGCAGTTATGTGATATCATAGGTGCTGTACTCAGTACATTTTAAAGTCAATAAATGTTAGTTGTAACATACATTTGGGGTCTACTCTATTTTTTTAAAAAAATATCCTTTTATTTTAGAATAGCCTTATAGAAAAGTTGCAAATATAGTAAAGAATTCCTGTATACTTTCACCCACTTTCCCCTTTCAAGATCTTACATTAAGTAGGCGCAGTATGCACGCCTATAATCCCAGCAGCTCAGGAGGCTGAGGCAGGAGGATTGCAAGTTCAAGGCCAGCCTCAGCAATGGCAAGGTGCTTAGCAACTCAGCGAGACCCTGTCTCTAAATAAAACACAAAATAAGGCTGGGGGTGTGGCTCAGTGGTTGAATGCCCCTGAGTTCTATCCCCGGTACCAAAAAAAAAGATCTTACATTATCAGTATGTTTGTTACCATTAATGTTTTGTGTTCCTGGACCCCATTCATAATACTATCTTACATCCAAAGATCTGTCTCTTCAGGCTCCTCTTGACAGTTTCCCACACTTTCCTTATTTTGGAAGACCATGACAGCTTTGAGGCCTACGGGTTGGACATTTTGTAGGATCTCCCTTAACAGGAGGGTCTCTCTCCTGTTTTTTCTCACAATGATGATGGGATCATTCACTTTGGTAGGAAAGACTGTAACAAAGCCACTTTGAAATTAAAAGCACTAAAAGGGTTTTGCTCCCCAACTTTTCGGCAACTGCTTTTCTGCATTCTGAGGACGGAAACTGAGAAGCTACGCCTGGCCCTGGTGGTACCAAGGACACTAAGACCGTGAAGGCTCTAACCAGGACAGCCTAGGTAGGTCCACATGTGTACGTTCCCTGCCGTGTCTCCCATGCACCCCTCTCCTCTGTGAAAGGCGTCCACCCCAGAGCTCCCCAGAGGTGGGAATCTGAGACAGGAATGGTCTCCTCTGTCTTCCTCAAAGCCAGCTTTGAATAAGCCTATTTCCCTTCACCAACCTCCGTCTCCTGGGTTCTAGTGGAGCAACAAGCGCTAGAACCTTCTTTCCAGGTAACAAGACCAAAGAGGGCAGGTGCCATTGTCGTCTCACCATATCGAGGTTGTATGCTCATAACGCGACACCAGCGTGGATGTTGACTTGATCCGCCAGCTGGGACCGCGCTCCTCAGGTTTCTCCACTCTAAAGTCACCCCTTCTCTTTCCCTTCCCACACCCTCCCTTGGAAGAAAGTCACAATGTGCAGTCCGTGGGAGGTAGGAGAGTGTTCCACTCCTGGGAGGGCTTACTCTCTGTAGGAACCAGGTGGAATTCTCTATGAGAGACCTGTTGTCCTCTTCCCCCTTTTAACCCATTCAATGATTTATTTATATCAGAATGGACTCGTG